TTTTAACTAAGATCTGTTAATTTATTTTAAGACTCACGCTAGAAATATTTCATGCCAATTAACTTCAAAACTTTTCTTTGAAAAAGAAAATAAACAGAAATCCAATGAAAAACCTCTACAGGTATGTGGCATTGTGCTGGGAATTTATTAGTTGACTATTTCTCAGACATTACAAATTGAGAAGTTTAGCCTCAGTCATGTGATTTATCTTCCTATTTATGACGCCATGTGACTTCTCCATATGATTATCAGCGTTCATCCGTGTCACACTCTGTGAAGTAATGCCGAAGGCCAGCTGCAATATGGACTGATGATAGATGATTAAGCACCACTCCTTATTTAGGATGCCGTGTGTATGTTGAAGTAATAACAGACACTCCCGGTCATTTCAGTGCATATCTTTATTCACTGAGCAAATGAAACATTGAACTGTTTCCTTTTTGTCCATTTCATACAGGTGCCTGCTGCCACTTATTACCATCAAATATTTACACTGGTGTTGCTTTGTATGTTGGTCAAACTGATGTAGTCATAAATGTTAATCATGTTCCCTCGATTTGTACAGCTGACACGTACATACTTCTAAACATCCTTTATGCTTTGCTCAGCTGTGCCGCTCAGTCCCGGTTCACTTGAAACATTTACACAGTGCATTATCTGTTTGATAAAGATGTGAACTAATTTGTTGATAAACTGTACATAGCATTATGAACTGTGCGTCTGCGCCACTGACAATTGACTGAAACAAAAACAAATCTATAGACCATTACACTGAGTTTTATTTGTTTTAAGTGTATCCTGTATGTTTTCTGCAATGTGTGTTTTTATTTTGTGCAAACACAAATAAGTGTAATAGGGTTGTCACGATACTGGAATTCGGTACCAATCCATACTGAAATTTTTAAAACATCAATTTCCCGCTAACATTTGAGCGCTGTTGAGCACGTGCTTAAACACAGCTCATTTGCCTTTTTGTTCACGCACTCAACAGAAATGACTGTGATTGGCCGTGAAGGTCATCAGTTCACCAAACTCACCGCTGTTTACTGGGTGTAACCGCAGATACAGGGACACTGAAGCATTTTAAAGCTGCGATTCAGCAGCTTGATCACTTGTATGTCAGCTTGTAGTCAAACCAGCTGATCTTTTGTATTGTCTTTATAAGGTAAAAACATGTAAAAATGTCTTTCGCTTACTGTATGACCAAAAAAGAGTATTTTAAGGTTACGTTTACACGACAATGTAACCAAAACTGGAAAAGTTTTTAACTTGCGTAATATGTTTTACATTTAGTTGACAGTCTTCAAAACGATCCATGTTTACACTTGCAAAAATGGGGAAAAACTGTGGATTAAAATAGTGACGCATTTTGAAAATCTCACAATCAATGCCAAATTGATTTCTCAACTTTTTTGGCATACAGCTCTTATGTATCTTAGTATGCCAGGATTTGGCGCTGTTGCCTTGCTAGCAAATAGTAACATAGAACTGGGCGATTAATCGAGGGGGTTTTTTTTGCACATTTTATCAGTGAAACCGGCTCTTGTAAACCTCCAGCACGTGCATTCAGATGCACAAGAGTCATAGTACAACGAAAAGCTAGGCAAAAGTCATTTTTAAATTCTAATTTGATTTAATCGTTTGATAATGAAATTGAGATGATTATTCGGTGATTATGACAGCTGTTCGTGTGGCTTCTCAATGAACTATAGCTCTGTGTAGTAAATGCACGTCAAATATGTACATATAATAACATGGTTTTACTTTAAACTAACCCAACAACTAGGGCTAGACAGAATCTGCAGACATTTTTTGATATTCCTGCGCAGAAATTTATACAAAATTTGCAGATTTAAATGTGGAATTATTTTTGGGAGTATCATAACTAAAAACCTAATATATTAAATAAAAAAAACTTTTTAACTTTTATTTAATGTTTACAATGCAAGTCCAATTAGATCCAGTTCTTTGTTAAACAAAGCTAGTCTCTTATATAAATTATCTACTTACAAAGACAGAAAATATTACTTTACAAACTGTATTGCAAATAAATCAAATGAACATTTTCATATTAGTCAATAATATTACTGAAATTAATTTAAACTGAATAAACATAAACTTACATTTACAAAGTAAATAAATAAATTCAATGATGGGCTAAAAATCTGGCAGAAATCTGTGGATTTTTCAGTACGCAGGTTCCGTGTGGGTCTGCTCATAACCAGTGGTGGAAAGGGTACTGAGAGATCATACTCAAGTAAAAGTACCATTACTCGCCTAAAAATGTAGTGCAAGTAGACTTAAAGTATCTGTTGTAGTGTATCAAGAGTAGTGAGTAGTGAGTATTACGCTGTAAAAAGCTGATGCATTTACATGTAATTTGTGCATGTGTGTGTAAATGTAACATTCTATACTGCATCTAGTTATTGCCCAGCAGGCACACAACATCATCGGACGTTAATATTGGGTTAGATTTAGGTCATGAAGTCAGGTGACCAAAATTCAATGTCTATCCAGCGTCTAATGACAACATTATTTTGATATCCAATAACAACGTCAAATGACGTTGATATTTGGTTGATTTTAGGTTGTTAGAAAGTGACCAAAATCGAACATCTTAAACCAACGTCATATTGATGTCAAATATTGACATTTATTCATTAGGTATGGCGACCAAAATCTAATGTCTGATAGACGTCATAGTTGTAACATCCACACAACATCAAGCTGTAACATCATTAGACGTTAATATTTGGTTGGTTTTAGGTTGGACGTTAAACACTGATGTCAACACGATTTCCAAACAAAATGCAACGTCCCCATGACATTAGGGTACAACGTCAATCTGACCTCATGTTGACGTCTTGTGCCTGCTGGGTGTTTAAGGCCATTTTTTTCATCATACAGTAAACATCTGCCATCTTTTCAACAGTCTCTGGGTTATTGCGTGTAGAGTTTTTGGGCATCTTCTTAGACATATTTAATGCTTCCAAACAATTTGTTGCAATTATAAAGCACTTATGCCTTGAGGTAGTTCATTATGATGTGATTTACCTTCTTTGTGTGATTTGATTGGATGGGAATCACAGGACTGATTTTTCTAATCCCATAGACAAGAAAAAATAAAGTAGTGACTGCAGGCTGAGGAAAGTAGTGGAGTAAAAGGATCAAAACTGCACTAAACATGTACACATTTTTAAAACTACTTAGTAAATTACAATTCCTGAGACAAACGACTCAATTACAGCAGTTGGAGTATTTGTAATTTGTTGCTTTACACCACTGCTCATAACTCATCCAATCGAGTGTTTTAAAGAAATCCTTCTGTGAAACTATTCTGTAGTCATGTGTTTATTAGTCATGCTAAATCAGTAAAAGCATAGCATTGCTAACTTGAATTTGCAGCATGCAGTCAAACAAACAGATAACCATAGAACCTGAGCAAAGTACAAATCCTTGTTTCCATAATAATATTCACAAGTTAGTCATCTGTTATGAAGACAATTGCATTTAGCTTTCATTATATTTGGCTAGATGTTTCTAAACCAAGTATTCGAAGTACACTGTAAAAATAATCCATAATCTAGCAGTTTTCCTTATTTTGTCATTTATGTTTTTATTTTTCCCCATTTATTTATGCTTTTGAATTTCATTATGGGAGTTTGTTTTTTCTTCCAATAACTCTTAACCTTAAAAAGTACGAAAAACTGACTTTTTAGAACATATTTAATAGTTTAAAGTGATACATTGTCTGGCTTGGTGTTTTATATTATTGTACAAAAACCTTGTAATAAACTGGAAGTACTTTATTATGTAATTTATTATTTCCCTCTACATATTATTTCTTATACATTATATTATTTCAAACTACTAAAATGTCAATAAAAGTCACTTTCTTAAAAGGCAGAGTGGAAAACACAAAACATGAAAATTGTTAATTAACAGGTATTTTTTGCAATGCAGTCTATGTTGTGTATAGCGAATGTCTTTAGAAATTGTCTTTATCATATGTAGGCTCAAAATAGATCTGGGACTTGTATTTCACTTTGAGATCATTTGAAAATACCAATTATTGTATCCTTTTTCTATTTCTAAATAAACGACTGTGTCTGAATAAAATGTAAGATGATTTCGGTTCAATATCAGTTTAGATATCAGACTTTGGAATGATGAATAACTAAAACACTATTGTATTGAGAAATCTATTGACTTCAACTATTTTTTCTCTTTCTCATTTCTAGCTGTGTGGCCTGGCCCTCATAGTTCTGGGGATACTGGTTCACGTTTCTTTGCACAACACGGCGATCCTCCAAGGAGCCTCTGGTTCTCCTATGGTGCTGATAGTGGTGGGCGTCATCATCTTCTTCATCTCTTTCTTCGGCTGCTGTGGTGCCTGGAAGGAAAATCAGTGCATGGTCGTTACGGTGAGGATGGCTTATGAAAATATTTTTGTTCTAGTGAATAGAATGAGGGCGTGAACTGATTATGGTTGAGTTAAAATAAGGGAAGTGGTCTAATGAGGTTTCTTCAGATGTTTGTAAGGTCAAAAAATTCATACTGGGGTTACTGCTTATTTGTTTGCTCAATCCTTCAATATTTTAACACCTAGTTAGATGTAATCTCTTTGTACACAAATGCTCATTTAAAAGACTATGAAGGAGTTTTATTGACAATTCAATAGGCTTTTTTCAGATGTGTATATCTGAAGTATTGTAAGCCACTTTAATATAGGTTCATAGATTTAATTTTCAGCATCATAAACCGTTTTCTATACCAATAATGACTCTTCTTATATATAAAAAAAACATGTTTGAAATGCTATTCTGCTTCATATTTTTGTGGAAACGGGACACATTTTACTGTGAATAATTATTTATTGAATGGAGTGTTTAAAATAACAGCATTTATTGGAATTCAACAGTCAATAATGAAGTTTTGACTAGTCACAATTGTAATTAGAGATATCTCTGAGTTTTTACTAGTCATAATACATTTGGAGATGTCTTTAATTCATCATATTTAGAGATATTTACAAATATATTTGAAGATATCTCTAATTAATTTACTAAAAGTCGAAATACAGTTGTAGATATCTTGAATTGGAGTCAAAACTCATTTAGAGATATCTGCAAATATTTTTCAATGGAAGTCAATGGAGGAATATGACTAGTCATAATATATTTGCAGATATCTCCAATCTGATTTCGTACTAGTACAATTGTAATTGCAGATATCTCTAATTGTCATTCTGACTAGTCGAATTATAATTATGACTAGTAAAAATATAATTAGAGATATCTCTAAATATATTTATGGATAGTCAGAACAAGGTTTAAATGCTAAAACGGCTTGCCATACGCTCTCACTCAGCAGCACAGTGGAGATTTCTCTAGTTATATCGTTTCAGTCGTTTGATATGCCGTCAAATATTTCGCCAAACAGTCCTTAGGGATGCGGGGACACGAAGTCAGATATTTCGCCGAACAGATCCGCCACTTTTGGCACTAATAAACAAACATTAAGCTCTCGTGCTGCAGGAATGAGGAGGTCTGCTGAAGGCGCGCAGCTGGCGTGCTGTGAGGAGTTTGCGTCTTTAATAAACTACGGCAGTTTGCGTTCACTAAACAGTAAGAATGATTAATAAATCCTTATCAAACAGTCCCTTAAAAGTCACGTCTCGCTTTCGGTTTCGGAAAAAGCCCAAGTGTACCGCGCTCAGGCACACCTCTCCCAACCGGGCCAGGGCCGGCCAAGTGAACCGTGCTTGAGCGCGATTCAGCGCACTCACACTTCTCAAACGATCCGGGAAACGGGCCTGGGCACGGTACGGATGGCATAGTCTGAGTAGGCCCTTATAGTGGTGCGGCCAGGTAGGGGGCCCTACAAGACAATGCGCCCAGAGGCCTCTGAATTCTTAATCTGGGCTTGGTGAATGGGCTGTACAAGTGCTGTTATTATCACCCAATCAGATTTGAGAATCAACCAGAACTGGTGTATAAATGTATATATGAGAGAGAGATACCACTTACCCCATTGATCAAATAACTTGAATAGTTTCTTAAGTTATTCTAATAATAAATAAATACTACATTTTAAAGCGGTAAGTACTACAAATCCACAAATTGAAAAAACACAAACAGATTTTTTTTAAATTCAACATAGCATAAAACTTTATTTACCACCTGAATACTATACATATATATGAGGTTGGGTTTGAATTAAGTTCTAGGATACAGCACACTAACTTAACTTAGTTCATTTACACCAGGCTAAATGTTTTTGCTAATGTGTGTGTTTATATACAGACTAACGTGGAGCCGTGTTAACACATTGTCAAACATGACCAACAGGTCAAACCAGATTCCTTCTACAGAACACTTCATTTGATCTGCATTTCTCCATTTTTGAACAAAGCAGAAGACAAACAGTTGCGATGAACTAACATAATAATAATATAATAATGTATCATAATATAATATAATAATGTGCCATTGCTTACTTTGACACACAGTAGAACAGCACTTCGCAGCTTTCAAAAAATAAAAAAGCATTTTGTAGATTTTCTTTTTTTTTTTTTTTTTGTCTTGTCATTCCCTATCTTATCAGCCAACCTCCCAATCTTTGTGTTCCCTCAGTTTGCAATCATTCTCTCCCTCATCGTCATTACTGAAATTGGAGCCGGCATTGCTGGATATATCTTCCGTGGAAAAGTGAGGAACGCTCTCGTTGTCACTTCTTTACAATTTCCCAGTTTTCCCAAAATCCGTTTGACTCATGAAAATCTGTTTCTCTGCAGGTGAATGAACTGCTTGATCAGAGCTTTAACACCATGATTGCAGGATACAACAAGACAGAGGAATACCGCACAACCCTCGATTCTATACAGAAGCAGGTCGGTGAAGCAAAAGCTCTAACATTTTCAGATGTACTGTTTGACCAAACAGGGCATGTGATTGTTCTCTGGACTCTTACATGAGTCTGTCCTGCCTTGTTTGCACAGTGCCACCTGCTGACGCTATAAAGACATCCTGCTTCCTCTTATGATGTCATCTGCTTTACTTGCTTTCTGAATAGTAAATAACATGAATTTGTTTTTCCATTAGCTCAAGTGCTGTGGAGGAAACTCCTCTAGTGATTGGGTGAACTTCAGTGCTGATCACATTTCGGTCCCAGATTCCTGCTGTAAAAACGTCACTAAGAACTGTGGTATTGGAGCTATGACGAAACCCACCGTAATCTACTTAGAGGTAAGATTGTTTTTCTGTCTTATTGATGCATATTAGTAAGAGAGTGACAATATTAAATGCAGTGAATCACAAGACATCAACTGTTTTAATCTATCTTCAGAAAACTAAATTAGTTCACACAGTGTTCGAAATATACCATGGCCTTTGGGGGAGCCCACCTTTTTTTCTAATGGGGGGGAGGGGGGTTGGGGGTAATGGCTACAGTAGCTTTGATCTTGAGAGTCCCTTGCCACAATGATGTAGGCTATAAAACACACAGGATACCTGTCCTTAAACAGCAATGTATAAACAAAAAAGATAAAACAAATATTTATAAATTACAAAGTAGAACAAAGCACCACGATAGTTTCGGTTTACTTTCTCGCTAAGAGGAGCTTCCCATCAGTGTTCCCATCAGTAACTTACTTTAACACTTGAAAAAATCTTGTGAGGGATTTATTTTTATATGCACAAATAGCAACCTAAACAACAGAACATTGTTGTCTTATTTTACCTGCAGTGCTATAAGTTCAAGATGATGGACATTATATGCATTTTTATTTTACATGGAGGCGTAGAAAATCATGGCATGTCACTTTTCACTCCGATAAAACATAATTGCGAATTCGAAAATAAAAAACATCATTCAAAAGGGTTCCATTTTGTCAAGTTTAGCTGCTTTCAGCTTAATAATTATCCAATATGTTTACAGCAATGTCACATTGAGAACATTGTATTGGCCTATTGTATAAAGCAAATAAAACGAAACACAACGTTGCATCATTTGTTTCGGACAATGAATACAAACCTAATTCTATTTTTGTACCCCTACCCCTTCCCCATGGCCCTTAAAACCGAGTGTGAAGGGGAAGGGCTTCAAAATTTACCCAAGAATTGGGACAGCACTACAACACCTGCACACGTCATCATATGTCGTCGCGATCTCTTGCTTCATATGAGATCAGACGATGGCGACTGCTGTAGTTATTTCAGTTGTGCTATTTTTTGGTGTTTATCTTCAGGAAATCACCGAAGGCATATATTATGTTATCATAACGATCTAATGTGGCAACAAGATTGTAACTGTACTGTGCATTTACACAGTGGCCATATTCATCTATGTAAACACACACATACAGCATTAACATTATAGCAGACACTGTAAAAAAAACATTTCCAGACACTAAACTTTTCTGACAGGGTATTCGAGCGTCATCGAGTGACAGAATGTTGTGGGACTGCTGTACAGGAGTTATTATTAGGGATTATAGATTGTGAAATTTAGCAATATTTATTTTAGTAGTTTTATAATTTTTTTTAAAAGCATGACGGTAAAACACGAACACGATTATGAATATATTAAAACAAGTGCTTGTTTGTTGTAAAAGTTCGTAATAATGACAAAAAATACTAATTTGTGGATCTGCTTACTTCCGGGAGCAGTGATTCTGTCGTTGTGGCTGGTGTATGCTGGGAAATTTTCTTTCCCCTTGGTTTCGAATGTGGTCCTGAAAAATCTTTGTTCAAAGGGCTATTCACCCCTTCCTCTTAGCCCTACGTCTTCATGCTAAAGAGAATTGGGACACCCCTACTTCTTGTCGTGGACGTGCAAAACGAGGGGTAGGGGTAAGGGGAAAGGCTAAGAGTAGAATTGGGATTGGGCCTAAGGAGTGTCTCTATGTCCACATGGAAGCATCTGGCTGTCAGTCTTTGACATGACTGGACTTTTCTCCTTAGCCCCCCACACCTTGATGCTCATGACAAGAATAGCATGTGTAGTTAACCTTTTTTTAAGTGAGGTGTAAATCACAGTCATGAATGAATGATAATTTTGCACTTCTACACATAATAATCCATGATCACATTACACAATACTGAAACCGCACGTCAAAATAACACATTGTCAATATTTTTTGAGACCCCCAAAATTTCACAAATCTTGCTTTCAGGGGAGCCCAGGGAGTTCACATTTTCTTCCTCTCAGAATCAAACAGTTATATATTCTTGCATCAAAAACAATGTTTAGGGCAAAACACAAATAAAAAATATATAATAAAATCAATATAAATAAAATATAATTATAGGTAACTAACACATATTAGGCCGTACAGCAATACAGAAAAATATATAAATACAAATATGCAAAAGATACAACAGTATAAAATAAAAAAAAATTATTTAAATAAAATTTAATTAAAAAATGAAGAAAAAAAAAGAAAAAACATATAAACATGCATATTTTCTGTGTTTTCTCCATTTATAACCTAGCGAGGGAAAATAAGTCAGCTATAGCTTTTCTTTATAGTTTATTTGTATTCATTTCATTTTTTGTTTTTAAAATGTGAGAGGAAGCAGGAAGATGTTGCCAAATAGCGTCAACGTATTCAGTATAACCGCACACTGTATCCCTATTTTTTCTATTTGAATAGACTGCATCCAATGTACTTAACTGGGCAGAGAAGGATTTTTCCAGTTCAGTGTTTTAAGCTTTTTAGCAATTATTAAACAGAAAGATTGTGTTTGACTGAGGAAAGAGTGTGTTTGACTGTGAAGATGAAACATTTGTAGGGTTAAGTCCAATCAATGCAACTAGGGGTCATGGTTCAATGTCTCAAAGAATTCATTGAGAAACTGATTTAAAATGGATTTTCCTTGTTTTAAGAGTTTACTTTAAGAGATATCTCTTTTTTACTTTGATATTTTTTACTAAAATGATATCTGTATTTCATTATATAAAAATTAGACTGTAGGTGTTCTTATAGCTGAAAAAAATCTCTCTTTTTTTCTCTAAATAACTCATTGGACAGAATAAAGTTTTTGTCTTTGTTTGTGCTTGATACAGGGTTGTCAACCTATTTTGGAGACACGCATAAAGGAAAATATTTTGTGGATTGCTGTGGGAGCTCTGGTCATTGGATTTGTGCAGGTAAGACCAGCAAGATTGCCTTGTTAATGCAGGGTTCCCATGGGACAAGGAATTTCTGCATAAACATGGAATAATAATGGAAATGTTTTTTCCAGACAGTGAAAGTCAGGGAGTTTTATATATATATATATATATATATATATATATATATATATGTATATATATATATATATATTTTTTTTTTTTTTTGAGTAAACAATTTAGTTTATTTGAATTATTTAAATTTGATTTTCAAGAATGAATATAATTTTATTTGCCATGTTTTGTTATGCTTATTGTAATGGTAAGTCTACTTTTTGATTAACCTGGATAGATAAAGGAAATTCAGATTTTTAATCAGTAAAATGAGGTGAAAGTCAGGTAATTTGACATTTGGCTTAAAGTGGAAACCCTGTAAATGTAATGCAAGCTTCATGTTTGTCTTATTCTAACCAATACATTGTTTTTTATTTATCTTGTAGATTACAGGCATTGTGTTGGCCTGCATTTTGTCACGAGCCATCCGCAGCGGCTATGAGGTCATGTGATCACATCCAATCACTGCGCTTCGTTCAGATCGCATCAGTTAAAGCTCCTAGAGACTGTTCAGGTGTTTTTAAACCTATTATATAAATGCCAGTTATTTCCCCCCTTGCTGTATAAGTTGACTATACTTATTTTCACTCAGAATTAAATACTACCACATCTTAACTTTCTGCGACTAATCCGGTAGATTAGTCTACTGTTAAGTCACTGATTTACTCGGCTTTGGTATTGTTGCTTTTGGCATTGTTTTAAACTGGATATTTACCACCATGTTGACATTCCTTTGGGTTACAGGACTACAAATCAAATACTGATATGCCAAATTTTATACGTGTATAGAGCATTAATGTTTAAAAGGAAAAATAAAATGTTCTAATCTAGTTTGTAAGTTGATTTTATTTCACTTAAAACACCTACTACTGTTGTTGGTGAGTCAATGTGAGCCTCAAGGAAGCAAAAAGAGACCATGTTTGAATTCTTTAATTGAAGTTCACATCACTTTCATGCCTTTTTGACTCTGAACCAAATAACATTTTCTCTTGACATAAAATGCAAACACATTTGGCAACATAAAAGAGATCAGCACTTATTGCACCTTGTTGGTATCAGTGTTCTTAAGAAAAAGGCACCGATTGGTAGGCTGAACAAACAGATGACATTGCAAACTACTATGCATGAATTGAATGGTTTGACCAAAAGCCCAGTGCACAGCAAACAACTTTTCATAGGATAGAAGAGTAACAAGGTGCAATAGTTATTGCACAGCATTGAGAACTCAAAAATAAATATCAACAAACTTAATTAAAATACATATAGATATATTCTGCATTATAGAATACACATTTTCCCCAGAATCTTTTTAAAGGCTCTGTAAACCACTTTTCATTTATACCATCCCATTTAAAACATAACTGGATTGCTTTTAGCTAAATAAATTTAAACACCACAATTTTTTTTGTAACTACCACACCAAAGATGAAGGAGCTAAATTAGGGGTGCCCAGACCGAGGAGAGCCGGTGTCCTGCAAAGTTTAATTCCAACCCCAATCAGACACACCTGGGCTAGTTAATCAAGCTCTTTCTAGGAACATCTGTGCAGGGGCGTTGAGGTAAGTTGGAGCTAAGGTCTGCAGGACACCAGCCTTCCAGAACCGAGTTTGGGCACCCCTGAGATAGACGGTACTGAATGTGAATGCATATTTTAAACAGATGAAAATAGTTAGTATTGTTTACATCTAACAGTTATTGTTAGTATTATTAGTTCCAAGCAAAAAAAAATAATAATCGTGATTAACTGCATCCAAAATAAAAATAAAACTAAAAATAAAAGTTTATTTTGACAATTTAAGTGTGGCGTGCATAGAAAATGTTTATATTTGTATATAAATGATGTGTGTATATGATACAATTTATATAAAAATTTAAATAACTGTGCAACACAATTGTTTTGTAAAGTTTTGTTTCTATCACATAAATATATATGATACACACTTATAAGATGTGAAAACAAATGTTTATTTTGGATGCAATTAATCTTTGCCCAGCACTATTAATTAATATTCTGAATGTAAATCTCTCATGATAAGAGCAGTGAACTTTGCAAAACACATGCCAAATACATCCATGTGGAATTAGTGTGCTTTCTTACCAAACAATTTTGTTTAATAGACGTCTAATAGACATCTAAATGTAGACAGCTTGGCTAAAACAAGGCTAAACTTGGGTGAAAATTTAATAGACATCTAAGAATAGCCCAAAACTAGACTAGTTGTCAAATAGATAGATTAGACAGGCTTTATATGTGCAGTCATTTATTTCTGTTTATTTGATGACCTATCTTTAGATGTCTATTAGATTTTTCACTGACAGCCCAAATTTAGCCTTGTTTTAGCTAAGATGACTACGTTTAGACGTCTATTAGACATGTTTTAAAAACAAAAAAATGCTTGCTGTGTTGTATCTTGTAGAATGTAGTTACTCACAGTGTGTAACTGTATTAAAGGTACAGTCATCATTTATTCACTTTTCACTCCTTTAAAACCTATTTGAGCTTCCTTCTTCTGTGAACACAAAAGAAGATATTTTGAAGAATGCTGGTACCCATCGACTTTAATAGTAGGAAAAAAATTTGCTATTGAAGTTGATGAGCAAACAGCATTCTTTAAAATAGAAACTCATAAAGGTTTAAATCCACATGAGGGAGAATAAATGATGTAATTTTGACTTTAATAAACTACCTCTAATATACTTCTCTATCCACACACCCAATCTCTATGGAACTAATGAAATTACTCCACAAGTTCCAGTATACCAATGAGCTCCCAATATTTTCTTTCCTCATGTAAACAAAATTAGATTCATTGCCACAAGAACATTTTTAAAGCATGACAGTTTCATGAAAAATATCACAGAAACGTACAAAATGCCTCTGATTATGAAAGAAACACAACAAAAAATGTATGTCAGATTTGCATATAAGTTTGTGTTTGTTCCCGTGGTGCTTTGCCTTTGGATGTGTATGTTTCAGCGCCGGGTGTTGGAAAGAGAAGTGGTGTGCTTCCTCTGGAGGTCAGTGCCGTTGCTGTTTAGGGTAGTTTACCGTGAGCAGAACCATGCAGTGCAGATAGAGCGAAGTCTCTGACTCTGATCAGACAGGAAGGAAACAGAAAGCCGCAGTGAATTTGCAACACTTTAACAGTCGCATTAGTAGTTTCAAAAGAAAAACAACGGCTTCTTCTTTGGAACTTTTGAAATGTTATAAATATTAAGTTAGAGTACAGTAAAACAACTTTCCAGCACATTCAGGGTTTAAATGCTTTCATAATTGCATTGTGTGAGTTGAACTTTTATTGACTTTCTTATTTGCAGATAACAAAGATGAATATCAAATACAGAGCATTAACAATAAAACATAAAATAAATAAATGACATCATATAAATTTATATGCATAATAAATAATAAATGAAAGTGATGTTAGTAAACACCAAACCAAAATGCATACAAAAATTATAAATAAAATAAAAGAGAGTGAGGTGGTTGCCAATATGATATTTATAATTATTATTTTGTCTCATTACATGTTTGCTAGCATTGTGGGTCACAGAAATTCATAAATTTTCCCTATTTATCGAAATAAATTTTAATCCTCCCATGTAAACTGTAGGAAAGTTTTTCTAAAGCTACAGTAACTATAATTGCATTTTGTGGACTCTGAATTGAAGCCCGAGTTAACAGAGGGAGTTGATTGTCAGCATCACGGTACCAACAAAGCCTGACAGCACTTCTTTGGTTTTTGTCAATTCTAAACTACCAAGTCAATTCTGAGTTTGTAAAGAAATCTAAAACCCACACCATGCTGCTGTTGTATGTAGTTTTGTTTTGCAAAAACATAGATCATTTATCGAACTAACAATCATTTTATAAAGTGATTAATGCTGCCATGAAATAATCTCAAATCTAAAAATGTGGTAGTGTGGTAATAATGGCTTGTAATCAACACAGCTAAAGGGCTAGATTTATTTTCTAAATGACAAATTTAGTCAAGAGCGCAATACTATGAAAAAACAGATGATGTGAAATTGACTCTCCTCCCATAAATTTGCAGTCTAAAAAGTGGACTTAAGTGACCTAGTTTACATGGACATCATTAATCGAATTTACTTGCCTTATTTAACCGGAGTTTACTGGTGCACTGCATGAAAATTTAGTACTTTTTACTAAATTTAGTAACGTCTTCAATTGAAAGGAAACCCGAGTCAATTTACTGTTCAAGTGATTTCCTGAAAATTCTGATTGTACAAAATATTTATATGAGTTTTAAGTCTTTTAATGCCTTTGAATGTTTCTTTCATGTATGCATTTTACATGTTAGAGTAACGCTACATAGTTCGATTAGCGTCATTACGTCACCATTTAACGCAAGTTTATTCCTGGCATTTCATGCAACAACAGTTCATGTTGGTCATGATGGCACCATATGTAATTTTGGGCATTTTTTTTTTTGGCAACAAATTTAACAGCAGGTAACTTTTCCCACTATACATGCAAACAGATGACGGTAGATACAAATTGTCAGGCTACCACAGCAGACAAATACAATTGGGTTTCAATCTGTAACTTTTCATTCATGCCCCCACGAAAACTCTGAGGTACTGGATGGGAGATAATCATCGTTTCTTGCTTGCACCAAAAGTGTGCTTTCCTGCTTGAAGCCATTCTTATTTGTTTGTCATCAAATGCCAGTCAAGTCTAGACAGGAAACGCTTATCAATATAGGATTATTTTTGAGACACTGTATAATAGTGATAAATAGTTTAACAGTACTGTGAGGGTTAGGTTTAGGGTAGACAACAAAAAAATACAATTAATGGGAAATGAATAAATAATTATTGTTAATTTCCAACCGCAACCGTATCTGATCTAGCAACAACCTCAAATGCCTGAAAACTGCCTTAAATGGGTCCTGTCGAAAAACAGCGAAAACTACAATACATTCAGGGGACCCCCAGAAACATTATGAAGGGCCCGCAACATTACACCCCCCCCCATCCCCCCTGCTCTTCACTTTCATCTGCGATCACTTGTCAGAGGGCCCCAGTGGCGCCCCTGGCAGGTGGTCTAACAATATCGCTCCAGACTCCCGGGCGAGCAAGCAAGCGTATGTATTGGTGTGAATGAGAGAGCGTGATGCTGTGTTGAGCTTGTTTGTTGCTGTGTGTGTGTGTGTGTGTTTGTGTGTTGAAAGAGAGAGAATTCGATGCTGTCTGTGTGTCACTTGCTTGGTGCTGTGTGTGTGTGTGTGTGTGTTTATACAGATAAAAAAATTTGTCCCACGCCGCCACCACTCTACTCCACATATCTTAATTCCATTTCGTTCGATTATGACTTTAGCTGGATTAAGGTAATCAAATATCGCTCTTTTACATGGTAAACTCTTAATCAGAGTATTGTCTTAATCCTATTTAAATCAGAGTATTGGTGTACTCACTGAGTATGTTTACATGGACAGCAGTACTCCGATTTTAATATGACTACGCATTGCAAAATTCTAAAGTTTTTTTCCTAATATCAGTGTGTGGTATCAAATTAAATTAAAACACCACTCTTCCACCAGTCCTTACTTTATACTCTCATTCAAATATCTCAGTTTGTCATGGGGGTGCATGCATTAAATGTTCCTGAATAAAAAGGTGAAACTGCCGAACTACAGTTGAAGTTGAAAAATTAAAAACGAAACACCCGAAATTACACGAACTCCGAAATAAACATTACATAGCGTGGCGACACACTGACGTTAATCAAATTGTGTTAACAAGTAAAACAGATCATAAAAGAAACATTCAAAAAGCAACTCATGAAATCACCTTAGTCATATTGTTGTCTTATTCAGATTAAGGCAAACTATTAGAATACTGATGTCCATGTAAACAGAGTCCGTGTAAGACTTAACTGAACTCTGACAGTAGAGTTTGCACAAGCTTTTAGTAAGTCTAGCCCATAGTTTTGTTCTGTACCTCTGAGGTGTGCTGAGAACTGCAACCACTGTGTGAGCCACTCTCGTAACTGTCCGGGACTCAGACGCTCTGGATTCAGCCCCCTCACAAAACAAGCCTGGGGGGAAAAGATTCATTAAATTGCTTAATTAAGGTACTGGCAGAAGGTAACTTGCACACTTGGGTGACCTCTGACCTCTCTGAGCTCCGAGTCGTTTAACTGGTGCAAGCCCAATCGAATAATGGCACGATCGAGCTGCATGAGTTCCAAGGCGTGACTGTTCAAACGTCCGCTGATCCAGAAGGCCGGGAGACGAGGAGTCAAGAAGAGCAAAGGACAGAGATGTCTCTGCAAGAGGAGGTCAAGTAAGATTAAGTATGACACATTTTTAAAAATGGGGCTGCACAATATTGGGAATTTTTATTTTATTTGGGATTTAAAGATTTGACAAAACAGTGGTATAGGTGTCTCATGTCATCATATACAACAATACAGCCATCTATTATACAATCATTCATCGGCTAGTAAATCCAGTATATAGGGTATATGCCGAGCAAGTGTTGTTCCCATACTGATAAACTTCCTGTTATTGTGAGGTTTTTTTCCATTTTATACGATTCCTTTTACAGCGTCGATGTTGTAATATAATTAAAATACATTCAGTTAAAGACTTGGGCATTCATTTATTTGCTCAAGCGTAAAACGAGACAAAAAGCCGTTTACAGAATACAGTTCACTGGAAGCACTTAACCCAGGTTACGGGCAAATTAAAAGTCCTATTAGCATACTTCGGCATATACCCTATAGTCTTTCGATATACATTCTAAAAAAACTCCAATAGAGGATTCCAGATATGTCCGTTTTTTTTAAGGATAAGAAAATAAAAAATGAAATTTTACTGCGATGCATATTGAGTATATTTTTAGCATATAATTTAAATGGCTCTATTAGGAAATAATTTATTAATTTTAACCTTAAATTGTTTAGAAAAAATTAAAAACTGCTTTTTTCTAGCCGAAATAAAAACAAATAGGACTTTCTCCAGAAGATAAAATATTACAGGAAATACTGTGAAAATTTCCTTGCTCTGTTAAACATCTCTTGGAAAAAAAACAGAAGAGCGAATAATTCAAACTATAATCCTATAATTCTTAACTATAATCCTGACTCCACATTGTAGATCCTGCGATATGAATATTGCAAATGCGCACATTGCGATCATCAATATATTGTGCAGCCCTAAAGTGCAATTCATTGTGCAACAAGCCGATTTTTTTGGAGCTCACCATCTGATTTGCATACATTTTCTTGATACCCAAGGGTGGTCCAGAGAACAATGTTCTCACAGCATGGACATCAGACACTACAGGATGGACTCCGCTTCGCACCTGCACACATGCAATACATTTGTCCTGTAACACATTCATGTACCAATTCTCACTAATCAACTAGTTGCCTATTATTAAGCTACTGGTTGCTCATCATTTCTTATTCCAGGGTTCCCACTCTGAGCCAAATATCAAATTCCCTTACTAAAAGCTAAATTTACATAACCCACATTGAACACAAAAACAGGCTGCTGTTTTGCTTTGCATAATATTAAAATGGTTTTAACTGGAAAGTCATTTTTTCATGACTTTAATGGCCACTATGAGAAAACAATTGATGATCTACCTGAGATTTTGAAAACAATCTGAAACACTTATAGTATGTGAGGCTGTGTTGTGTTCCCCCTCCATAAACTGATAATAGCTATAAAACGTGCATTTCGTTTTTCTGTCATCTACTTTTAAACGTTCGGTCTTTGAAGTGACCATTTTGAAGCAAAAGCTTTTAAAATGAATATTATCCTGACATGTTAGCCTTAATTAACAGGTACAGTCTCATGATTCCATTTGACTTAAGTGATTACCAGTTGATAAGCATGAAAGGAATAAAAATGAAGCTGAAAATAGCTGAAAACAACAATGCTATGAAATAATATAGTATATAAAAATTACATTTTAAAGAAATTAAATAAAAAATTTAATTAAATTTAAAGTGAAAAAAGTCTGAGTGACATTTCATGACTTGAAAATATGAAAATTCCCTCACTCTCAATGTCTGGGTCTTTTAAATATCCATGATATTCCCGAAATTTCATGACCCGTGGGAACCGTGACATCCTTAATCCTCTATCACAGTGTTTCTCAACCACGTTCCTGAAGGACCACCAGTCTGCGCATTTTTCATGGCCCTAACAATACACACCTAATTCAGATCATCAGTTCATTAGCAGAGACCCTGTAATGCAGGGGTGCTTAATCCTGTTCCTGGAGATCTACCCTCCTGCAGATTTCAGTTGCTACCCGTATCAAACACACCTGAACCAATTAATTAGGACCTGAACACCACTTGATAATTACAGGCAGGTGTGTTTGATATGGGTAGCAACTGAAATCTGCAGGAAGGTAGATCTCCAGGAACAGGGTTGAGCACCCCTGCTGTAATGGGTGCAACAGACAAAGGAGACATCCAAAACATGTAGTTTTGATGGTCCTCTAGGAACGTGGTTGAGAAACACTGCTAAATCTAATTCCTAAACCCAACAACTACCTAAATAACTATTAATAAGCAGCAAATTAGGAGTTTTTTGAGGCAAACGTCATACTTGATGGATTATAAATAGTGAGAACTGTACCTAATGATATAAACTGTGACTATTTGTGCTTATTAAAAAGTCAGCATGTAAATAAAGATTCAGCTCAGATTACCTTACTGCAGAGCTCCAGCAGGTGTCTTTTCAGTCGGGTGTCTTGGACAGAATTTGATGTGCTTTCCAGCCCTTTGACCACAGCCCAGTGATGACGTGCCCTCTGGTTATGATAGGCTACCTGAAAATCCACCAGCTGCTGAGGGGTCCAGAAGTGCCGGATGAGAAGCTGCCGAGGATAAAGGTACCTAGAAGGATAGAGAATGCTTTCATTATTAAAGTGATAGTTGATCCAAAAATGAAACGACCATTTTCTCACTCTCAAGTGGCTCAAAACCCTTATGTTGTTGTTTTTTTTTTGTACAAAATCTATTTTGAACAATGCTGGAAACTGGTAACCAATGACATGCATAGCATTTCAATGGCTACCAGTTTTTAACATTCTTCAAAATATCTTCTTTTGTAAGAAAAGAACTCCGGTTTGGAACTAGTGGCGATTAAGTAAATCAGTGTGTCTCAACCACGATCCTGGAGGCAGTTTTGGATTTCTCCTTTGTCTGTCATGCCCATTACAGGTCTTTCAGTCTCTGCTAATGAGCTGATGATCTGATTCAGATGTGTTCGGTTATGGAGACATGGAAAATGTGCAGAATTCCAGGAACTTGGTTGAGAAACACTGAAGTAAATGACTGGGTTACGATTAATTAAATGACTATTCATTAAAAATACTTAAAAAAACAACAACCTATAAAGAAATATATAAATGTTGCAATAATAATATTGTCATATCTTATTATGCTGTAAGCATTGTAATATAAAGCATTTAAATTACTAAACATTTATTATCCAAAAGGTCTATATTTTATTATGTAATTTATGTAAATATTACTATTGCGAGAACACTACTGTACTGTAAAAATATCTGAATATTTAATTAACTTATATTAATAATATTTTGTAACTATAAAATTAAATCAAATTTACAACTTCATTAATGCTATTGTACCATTAAACAGGTATTAAAAATAATACTAAAATATCGACATTTATTGTAGTTTTTTTATTCTATATAATCTATAATTTATAAATATTACTAGAATTTAATATTTGTTTTATTAACTAAAAGGTTAGTAATAAAGTGTTTGAAATATTGCCATTAAAAAAATTTTTAATGTTTGGTAAAACAACAATATTACAAATGCAACAATTCTAATGTACAATTCTGAAGCTCATAATAATAATATAATGTAACAGCAATACTATTCTATCATTATATAAAAAAAATGAACATTTTTTTAAATTAATATTTGTATCCATTTCTCAGTGAATATAGGCAGTGTATGTTGGTGCATTTAAACAAAACAGATTTATTAAACAGATATATTTATTAAATAATATTTTAGTCACCAAACATATTTAGAAATGTAAAGATAATACTATTAAATTCAAGCAAAATATTGCAAAATAAATTACAAGCTACAAAATTTCAACAAAATCTTTCTGTTTTTTTTTTTTTTTTGCTTTTCTTGATTTTTCCTTTTTTTTTTTAAATTTGTATTTCATATTTTTCTATAACATATAAAGTTGGTGTACTAGTTTTTGGACCGTTATCTTGGGTTATTTAGTTAGATTAGCTCCAGATTTGCTTCAGTACTGACTAATCTAATGTATATGCACAAATATAATATTGTATAGCTTCCTATTAAAGATATAAATTCTTAATACATATGTTTTGGCTTTGTCCATCAGTCACTTCTTTTTGGCTACCAATTTTCAAGTATTTCTCTTCTGTGACAAAGATGCACATCGAACCGTGTCCTCTTATTGCACTTTTTGGACTTTCTCCAAATATACCAGGGTTATTGAGTTGTACCGCAAACGCCTTTGCATTTTTGACACTGTCAGCAAAGCGATGTATTATTTTATTATGAAAACAAAGATTTCCCCAGAGTTTTGACAACTGGTTGCGAGATGCAATGAGTTTCATCCATTTGGAAAAAATCAGGTTTACAAAAACGACAATACTAGGGCTTTTTCTGAAACATGAGACCCATTTAGAATTTTCTTTTCTGAGCATGCCAGTGTCTCTACAAACTCTAAATCTAAATCTTAGGGCCTTTCGATTGCAAAGCAAATGTAATTAAGTACATTGTATAAATACCTGAGGATTGTTTGTAATAATGGGTTATCAAGGTACACGTGTATTCTGTACAGGTTTTTATTTTTTTACTTATTTTATTTAATTAAAAAAAAATTTTAAACTTTTTTTTCTCTTGGATAAATGTAATTGCATCTTGTTAAGAGGGTAGGGATGGGAATAATATTTGCTTAAATTTCTCTGTAAAATAACTTTCTTATGTCTGTAAAAGTTTGATAAACAGATTAAAAAATATGAATTTATAAGATAGATTTGTGAGGGGTGTATATAAATATGCTGAGCACTTTATACATATACATACATTTTTTTAACAATAACAATAATAGCAATGTAATGTTAAGATGGATTATTGAATCAATGAATAGAAGAATGGCAGATAATAAGGGAAACTTTAAATACTTTTATTCAGTATTAATTTTAAAGGATGCAAAAGTACCAATAATCAGCAGAGCAAGATAATAAATACTCACATAAGCATAAAGACCAGATAGTTGGCAAATGGAGGTATTGACAGGATGACCAAGGGAATGGCTTTGATCAAATCCCTGCGGACCTGAAAGTAACATATTTCAGAAATAATAAATATAATATTATAATATTAATACGACATATAACCACAAGACTTCTCACAAATGTCTCCTTGACTTCTCAAACTCACCTGTCTGATTTTCTCCATATCCCGGTAAGGCAAATTGGCGTGGCTTGTTTTGTCACTAATCATGCGGAACACGATTTTCTGCACTTCTTTGCCATCTTCAAACAGGAGTCTGAAGCCTTTACAAAAAAGCAGAAAACCTACATCATAGCACATTCGATTGAGATAGTTCGTAGTTCAGAAAAAAACATTAAAGTTAACATTTCACTCATTCTGACCTCTCATGAAAGTCTGATAGAGGACAAAAAAGCGAGGGAAGCGCCGCTGCAGGAATCTCTCGTACTTCTCATTGGCCCACTTTAGACTCGACACAACGCTTCGACCAATCCCGTGTCTTGCTTGTGAAGGCGAGTAGTGTCTGACAAACCACAGACTGCTGCAAAGACAGACAGAAAAACAGAAATCAACCAATGAAAGGTGCTGCAAGATGGCGGAGCAGTGAACGGCATGTACTATATGTTAGTTTCAGTCTGCTAGTTTTAAGGATATCTATAAGCTAGTGTGCTCCAAAATAGTGAAAACAAAATGAGCATTTAGAAGATATAAAACTGATATAAACATGTAAAGCTTTTAGTTTGTCACTTCCGCCTAAATGGATGATTTTTTTTTTCTGTGTGTGTGCAAAAAATCAGTTGACATGTTTGTAGCAATATTTGTTTACAATACAGAATATGAATTACATTGTCAATAAAAAAGAGATACGAGAGAGAAAGAGAGAGAAAAAAAGAACATGATATAAACTTCATTGACATTTAAGAATCAATAACAGTAAATAAATTAAAGTCATTACAAAATAAAATAGTTCTGTTTGCTTTCTTATTTTTAGATTAGGAAATTAAATATATATAATGACTAAATTCTTGCAAAAAAAAAACAAAACAGGAAAATATGGTTTGGTATTAGTAAATTTGCATTTGTGGATATGGAATTTACAAAGAAAATACATTTATAACAAAACAAGCATTTCTCTTAGTAGAGGCATCAGTTCTTGACCAATCAAATGCTCTCTAGTATCTGACATGCCCCGCCCCCTTCAAGACACTTCTCATTTATCACTGGCAGACCTGTGATAAAAACGAAATGCTATGCGCTTGTTAAGTGTGACGTCACGCGAAGCAGCTTCCTGGTCCAAGCGCTCTATTCAACTGAATGGGGAGACTTGTGAAATGGTAATAATAAACGTTTACAAAGCGATTTAATACTTTCGAAAATCACGATCGCTATATATATGTCCATGCCTAATATCCAATAGCCAGAAAATAATTCATTTTTTTATAAATTGTTAAAATTTTGGTATTTGTGATGCAGCAAGCCCAGAGATTGTTGTGTACACTATGACTTTATATAAAATTAACTTTAATGTGTGATATGAATAAAAAGTGATCATAAACAAATGATTTCTCAACTCAAATGAGTGGCGGCTTGGACCTGGAAATAGTATTACATACGTCACCAACACGTCACCACTTACCATGCGGATTCGCTTTTTTTTTTTTTTTTTATAAAGGGGAGGAGCTATTCTTTGTTCCACCCTCTCTTCATTTTTTTTTTTACTGAAGTTATGTCAAACATCAAATAAAAACACATTTCAAAGCACTTCATGAGACCTTTAAAATTTAATCTAAAAATATAACAAGCTTTTTTTAATGCTACTAGTTATTGTTATTATTATTATGATTATAAAGATAGTTTTGGCCATTTCTATCTTTATAAGTATAGGATAATATATTAAGACAGATCAGCAAATCAGACAGATTTTTGCGGGGAAAGGGATTGGAAAAGGTCTACGAGCTGGGACTTGAACTCAGGACACCCAAAGAGCAAGGGCACTATATGTCGGCGCACTGCTCACGAAGCTATTGACAATGAAAGCTAATACTTATTTTATAGATAAAAGCATCTTTTTCTTGTTAACATAAAAAGATAGTACATTAATTTAACAACTTCATTTGTTGGTTTTAAGAGGTTATTAGGTGGTAGTGTGTTTTTTTTTTTACAGAGGCCCTTTTAAAACAATACTACTACTTATTTGTTACCAGAGCTTGGTAGATTAGTTAATAATTGTAATCAGCCAGTGAAGTAAGCAAAACAATCTTATGTCAAGAGGAAAAACAAGATTATTTTGTTTACCCTATTGGCAGATTATTTTGCTTGTTTTAGGAAAAACACACTTAATATTGGCATATTATTACTGAAAACAAGACAATAAGTTTTGCTTGCCAAAAAATGTTTCTTGATATAAGGATTCTTAGATATTCGGACAAGAAACAAGACTACAGGTCTAAGTAAAAAAAGCTTTTTTTTGCAGTGTAGTATCTAATGGCAGGGTTCATACACATTTTACTACTAAAATCCATGACTTTCCTATGATTTTTCCATGACTTTCAAGTAAATTTTTATGACTTAATGTTTCATGCAATGCCTACATATGCATGATAAAAAAAACAATACATGTTAAAATTTATTACAGCATCCCATAAAACACGCAACAATCTATTTAGTTTCAGCTTATATTTATATCTATGTGAAATTGATTTAGATAATGCTTACACTGCACTAATAATGTGGGAGTATTTGATTGGGCAAGGACAGAAAAGTAGTAAAGACAACAAACCTATATTCAAGTATACAGATATCCGTTTTCCATGTCTTTTCCGAAACTTTGTGGGTTTTTCTGATTTTCCAAAACTTTTCCAGGCCTGGAAAATGCCATTTCAAAATTCCATGACTTTTCCAGGTTTTCCATGACCGTATGACTGTAATGAATAAGTACTTGTATCTAATACACAAGTATTTATTTAATAGGCACTAGTATCTAACGAATGAGTGAGTACTAGTATCTAATAAAAAAACTAGTGTCTAATTAGAAAACACTACTATATTTTTAAAAAGCTCTAGCATCTAAAGAATAGGCACTACTAACAGTACTTGATGGAAAATGTACTGATATCTAAAAAACAAGCACCAGTAACGTGAAAATAGATACTAGTATGGTTTATAGTTTAAATGTCAAAGTGGCTTGCCATAGGAAGATACTAGTTTTAAGTATGTACTAGTAACATGAATCTAGAAACTACGTTATATAAAATTAAATATAAAAATATCTTGCCGTTCTCTCATGTAATTCCTGATGAAACCATTTTCCCCTTTGTCATCGACTAAAAAAAGACAGACATTGATAAAATAATTAATGTGGTCTCGTTTGTATTATTTACGTTGAAACATCATCTTCGCTATCATTTTATATCCAGCCTGTATGCAAAACATCCTAGCTCTGGGAGTGTGGTATGCGAACAACCGCCTACAAATGATCGGTCATTCCGAACGTATTTTTAATTATACCTGGGTTTTGAGGAAGCCAATCTAGGAGTGCAGAGACTTGCTTTGACCCTGACAGGTTGTTTTCCATACAGTAAGATCACTGAAGCCCCGCGGCATATTCCCCGACAGGACAGCGCCATCTTGAACTGAGCAGCTGACAGTTCGGCGTGGGCGTGTCGTCACGACCATGAAGTGCGGATGCGGGTCTTTGATTGGCTGGTGAAGTGTACGCATTAAACGACGCGCATATTTTGTGTTTAGGTCGACTGGATACCGTAATATTTATATGATATGAACATAAAAGACAAAAGCACACTCCAAAAAATTATATATTTGATAAATGTTATGAGTTGCAGATTACTTTATTCATTTAATGACTATTCTTTTACAGATTTAAATGTAAAATATAATTAACTTAATTATTCTATGCAGTTTTATTTATCCTTGTGAAATTACTATAAACTTATAAACTTATATTTGCTATATTGTGTCACATTTTATTAATTAAATAAATATTTTGAATATTTTTTATTTTAATCATTTTAAAATAATATAATAATGATTAGAATTATTGAATAAAAATTAAAATAAATAAAATCCATCCATTTTCTTCTGCTTGGTTAAAATAAAAAAAAAATAAAAAAATAAAAGATCCAAAGTTTTATTCAAATAATAAATGAGAAATAGTTAAATAAATAAATAATATTAAAATATAGCAGCATTTATTTTAAATAAATAAAATAAATAAATATAATCTCTTAGTCTTTAATGTGTGTGAATAATCATGCAAATAGTTAAATTAAAATGATATAATTGCTTTGATAAGAAAAAATAATACAAAATGTTAATATAATTAATTAAATAAAAATAATATAATAATTATTATAAAATAAAATAAAAATCAATAAAATTGGTTTAAAGAAATCCATTCATTTTTTCTGCTTGGTTAAAATAAATAAAAGATCAAAAGTTTTATTCAAATAAATAAATAAATTAGACTAAAATATAACAGCATTTATTTTATATAAATAAAATTAATAAATATAATCTCTTGGTCTTTAATGTGTGTGAAAAATCAAGCAAATAGCTTGATTAAAATAATATAATTGGTTTGATAAGAAAAAGTTATTCAAAATGTTAATATAATTAATAAAATAAAAATAATATTAACCATATAAAGAATAAAATAATATGTACGTTTGTTAATCTTTATAAACCCCATAGACCAGCACATAGTTACAACAAATAGCTTAGAATCATCAATTGATTACAATGAATAATGCAACAACAAGTATTTATTTAAACATTTGCCATCTTTAATGATGAAACACGTGACATTCCACAGCAGCACACAGCACTTGATTGATGATCTGCATTGATTGCAGTCAGCAGATGGGAAGGCCAGCACGCGACTGCTTCAACAATACAAAAGACTAGCAGTAAGTGTTTATAATGATAATGTCATGTTCTTAACATAAACCCGAGCGTATTGCTACTTTGAAAGTCGTGAGTTTTATAACATAAAGTCAAGCAAACATCGTTTTAATAAACTTCAACCGTCAGTTTTTGCGCTCGGCCTGCTGACTCTCACGTTGTTTGACCGTCACGTGCTGCATTTCTTCAGAGTGCTGTGTGGTTTAACGTTATACTAGAAAATGTTTTGATTTTAATGTTTGGCGGACTTTATTTAGGGTGAAGATTTTTTTAAACCCACGGAAAGGTACACGGGGGTCCAGGAAACGGAAGTATGGCCACTTATAGGTTTGGCAGTAGCGTCGGTCCGTCTGGAGTCCACTCTGAAAGTACAGGGCAGATGTGGAATGAAGACAACGGTAATCAATCATCATCATAACTCGATGCACTGTTGAAGTTACATGTGCAAAATGCAGTTCATGTTGAGTTGTAGTTTTGTGTCGGCACAATAAGTTTTGTTTCCAATGTGGCGCCTCCTGTTTCCGCAGGTTATGGTGAAGAAACGGAAGATGCCAGCGACCCTAATAGGATTGTGCAGTGCCCATATGACAAAAACCACCAGATCAGAGCCTCACGCTTCCCTTTTCATGTTCTCAAGTGCAGAAAGGTGGGTTGTAACATTTAGGATAATGAAGTTCAAATGGAGGCGCATAAATCTTGGGTTTAAACAACAACAAAATATGTATTTGGTAGATAAATTAAAATTTAAGTAGGTTTGAGGGCAAGTACAACAGGAAATTATGGGTTAATTTTATTAATAATAATAATTCCTTACATTTGTATAACACTTTTTTTTTGGACACTCAAAGTGCTTTACACATTAGCGGGGAATCTCCTCATCCACCACCAGTGTGCAGCATCCAACTGGATAATGTGACGGCAGCCATATTGGGCCAGACTGCACACCACACACCAGCTGATTGGTGGAAAGGAGATGGAGTGATCAAGCCAATTATGATTTTTTTTTGTTATGTTTTCTTAACCTTACCTTAGAAATACAGCATGTTAGGCTTAGCTTTGAGTACAGCAGGTTTACAGTGGATGGATGTAGAGAATGGGAATGTCATTACAGCACAGTGTATTTTGGGACACTGGAACTTGAATCCCATTAATCTCTACAGGTTTGTTGTATATGATTGATGGATGGATGGAGAATGGCTATCATTGCAGTGCAATGCATTCTGGCTTTTTTGGCACTCTGGAACTTGGATCTCAATCTCTATAGGTTTATAAGAGAGATGGATGGAGATGAATGAACGCAAACGGACTTGCTTTAAATAATGTGCTCGCACTACTAATAGAGGATCATGTATATGGAAAAGTTGTCCAGCGGCAGCTCATTGATGCACCATCACCGTCGCAGTTAATGTTACTATAATATGTAATATTGTTAATATGATCTGTGGCCTGTAAATCTGTGCTTGGCTCTAAGTTCCTTTTAAACATGTTTTTAGCTTCTTAGACACAGTGTGTTTATACAGATATCTACATTTTATTCTGAGTGTTTGTGAGATGTTTTAAAAAGGTATTAGTACTATTAGATGGTCTGCTCTTTCTGAGGTAATTTGCATTGTTGTACATTGTGTGCTCCTGGGCCTCTGAAAACATGATAGAAAGTATTCATTGTGTAGATTCCCATTCTCTGTAACTTGGTACAGCTAAGTATTGTTACACCTGTAAAGATGTACACCATAAGTGTGTGTTAGTAGGGGTGTCACGATTTCGATTTTTAATCGAAATCCATCGAAATGTATGCTCAATTTCGATAATCGAATCAAAAAATAGAATTGTCGATGCTGCCACGCCCCCATGTCACGTCAACTTGGCTAGCCAAGCGGGAAAAAAACAGGCTTGTTGAAGTGCTTGTTAAACTGCTGAAGCAGGAGACCCGTCGACAGAACTTGAACCTCTCCTCTTTCAATGAAGTCGCTGGTGTGTAAGCATTTTGGATTTCCAGTGAGTTATGTTTACAACATTCGTGTTGTCAACAAAAAAAAAACACAGTTTTGCAAGCTCTGCTATGTACGGTTCGTCCAATAGACAACACCGGCATCGCGATCCTCCGCCTGCCCCTGTTGCAAATCCACCTGCGTAAAGTACACACTCAGGCCCTGTTTTCACTGTCTTTGTTTTTAAATGGCATTTTAGAACGACAACAATTTGACATCCTCAGTGGCGTGTAGCATTTCTGAGCAGCCATCCTTCCTCTCTACCTCTGAAAATGCACATCACATGACCACACAGACGCATACACAGCCATGCGCTCGAGACAGCAGGTCCAGGCAGTCAGAGGACTGCTTCAATCTTTCACTCACTTGTACTTAGTAATTTTAGCGAACACCTCAAATACTGTTGGCTGGTTCCTGTTGGTTGTGCGTCTTTTTTACCGACGCCATTATAACGACACAGATCACTGCCTATTCACGAGTCCAGCAGAAAAGAGTGATTGACAGGTGGTAATTATAAGTGTATCTTGCCTTTATTCATTTACTGTATGATTTGTTTATGGGTAAAACAAAGACCATGCAGGTCAGGTAGTTTAAACGGTAGGCTACAAATAATTAATTGGTCATTAATTAATTAATTAATTAATTATTCATAATCGAATCGTGCCTTTAGAATCGAAAATGTAATCAAATCGAGGATTTGGAGGATCGTGACACCCTTAGTTTTTAGGTTTGGCGTTATTGACATTTGGATCCATTTTCACTATTGTCTTGAGAAGGGGTCGGCTAACTTTTTGACCAGCAGAGCCATTAGTCTTTTTTTTTTTCTCCTCCAAAATAAAATTTGCCCATAGATATTTGACCTTTAAATGATAACTTCTTGGAAACGTTATTTGTTTGTGGGATGTAAGTCTATTTGAGTCATCTAGACCAGGGGTTCTCAAAGTGGGGGTCGGGACCCTTCGAATATTTTATTATTATTAAATCCTATAAGAATGACCATATTTTGTCCATAACCTACTGAAGCGAAAAATATAGTCGTTTATAATTACTAAATAGTTACTATAGTAGCTTAGTTACTAGTTCTATTGGATTGTGACCCCAGTGGTAATTACATTATATTAAAGACACAGCAATAGCGTCAGATGCAGCAGATTGATTTTATAACACCAGGTTAAAGTTTCTAGCCCATTTACTGCACTGACATTAAACGAAGAATATACCTGGGTGTTTTGGTGTGTGTGTGACATTGCATGCAAGGTTTCTGTATTCATAACCAGGATATTGGGGGTCGCGAGTCACTGACATCGTCATATTAGGGGTCGCACGCTGAAAAGTTTGGGAACCTCTGATCTAGACAAGCGTCTTCACTGACATAACCTAAGACTTTCAATCGTTTTCAAAGTGAAAGCAGCAAGTGTTTATTTTTTTTTTAGTAACTGTAAAGCAACAGTGTTAATCTCTTTACGTGTAAAGTTGTTCATGGTGGGTATAAATATGTATGCTGTATACGAGTCGTAACAAGATCTCATTCATATTGGGCTTTAAAAAACCTTTGCACTGATGTTGATTGTTTAGAATGATTAACAAAGTGATGAACTGTTTATGAACGCAAATAATAATCTAATATTAATAACCAATTGAATGTTAGATTTTATTACCACCATCAATATTAACGACTCATGGGTTAACGTGGGAAATAGACCTGTATTTTGGCTTTTATTAACAATATTAAGTTTCTTTTCAGTCTT